CGGAAATTTTCATAAATTAGAGTAAAAGTAGAAAGTTCCTGAGTGGCGTTCACTCTCTCTCTCCCCAGTTGTCGTCCACTCTCTCTCGCTCCCCAGGGGTCGTCCACTCTCTCTCTCTCCCCAGTGGTCGTCCACTCTCTCTCGCTCCCCAGTGGTCGTCCGCTCTCTCGCTCCCCAGTGGTCGTCCACTCTCTCTCCCTCTCCTGTGGTCGTCCACTCTCTCTCGCTCCCAGTGGTCGTCCGCTCTTTCTCGCTCCCCAGTGGTCGTCCGCTCTCTCGCTCCCCAGTGGTCGTCCACTCTCTCTCCCTCTCCTGTGGTCGTCCACTCTCTCTCGCTCCCCAGTGGTCGTCCGCTCTTTCTCGCTCCCCAGTGGTCGTCCACTCTCTCTCGCTCCCCAGTGGTCGTCCGCTCTCTCTCGCTCCTCAGTGGTCGTCCGCTCTCTCTCGCTCCCCAGTGGTCGTCCGCTCTCTCTCGCTCCCCAGTGGTCGTCCGCTCTCTCTCGCTCCCCAGTGGTCGTCCGCTCTCTCTCGCTCCCCAGTGGTCGTCGTCTCTCTCTCTCTCTCCAGTGGTCGTCCGCTCTCACTCTCTTGCTCCCCAGTGGTCGTCCGCTCTCTCTCACTCCCCAGTGGTCGTCCGCTCTCTCTCTCCGTTGGTCGTCCTCTCTCACTCCCCAGTGGTCGTCCGCTCTCTCTCTCTCCAGTGGTCGTCCGCTCTCACTCTCTTGCTCCCCAGTGGTCGTCCGCTCTCTCTCACTCCCCAGTGGTCGTCCGCTCTCTCTCTCTCCAGTGGTCGTCCGCTCTCACTCTCTTGCTCCCCAGTGGTCGTCCGCTCTCACTCCCCAGTGGTCGTCCGCTCTCTCTCTCCGTTGGTCGTCCTCTCTCACTCCCCAGTGGTCGTCCGCTCTCTCTCTCTCCAGTGGTCGTCCGCTCTCACTCTCTTGCTCCCCAGTGGTCGTCCGCTCTCTCTCACTCCCCAGTGGTCGTCCGCTCTCACCTCTCTCTCCCCAGTGGTGTCTACTCTCTCTCCCCAGTGGTCGTCCGTCGTTGGTCGACCTCTCTCACTCCCCTCGTCCGCTCTCACTCCCCAGTGGTCGTCCGCTCTCTCTCACTCCCCAGTGGTCGTCCGCTCTCTCTCTCCGTTGGTCGACCTCTCTCACTCCCCAGTGGTCGTCCGCTCTCTCTCTCTCCAGTGGTCGTCCGCTCTCTCTTGCTCCCCAGTGGTCGTGCTCTCTCTCACCCCAGTGGTCGTCGACCTCTCCTCCCCAGTGGTCTCTCTCTCATTCCCCAGTGGTCGTCCGCTCTCTCTCTCTCCAGTGGTCGTCCGCTCTCACTCTCTTGCTCCCCAGTGGTCGTCCGCTCTCTCTCACTCCCCAGTGGTCGTCCGCTCTCTCTCTCCGTTGGTCGTCCTCTCTCACTCCCCAGTGGTCGTCCGCTCTCTCTCTCTCCAGTGGTCGTCCGCTCTCACTCTCTTGCTCCCCAGTGGTCGTCCGCTCTCTCTCACTCCCCAGTGGTCGTCCGCTCTCTCTCTCCGTTGGTCGACCTCTCTCACTCCCCAGTGGTCGTCTACTCTCTCTCGCTCTCCAGTGGTCGTCTCAGAACCAGCAAAACTTTCTGGGGGGGGGGGGGAGAATGTTGTCTTCGTTTGATTTTCTAATGTGGGGTTTGGTGGTCATAGCACAAAACTAGACTTACGTCACGATGAAACGGTGAAATCTTTGGATACCGGCGCCTCGTGTCTTGTATGGGCGGTGGTGACGTTGGTCTGGTGGTGACGTTGTCAAGTGTTCCTCACCACTCACAACACTGATCTAAGGCAACACTGTGCTAACATGTAAACTATATATGTAACACAGCACGGGCTTGTGTTGATGGCTAACTTTAACAAAGTTCACTATTGGGTGCTCTTGTTTAACAATGCGAGTCCGGACCTGTTGGTGAGTCCTCTTGATACCAAGAAGAAGTTGTTGTTGATTTAGGGGCGGCGACGATCGTGGGATCGGATGCGCCCCGGCGTACCCGTTAAGGGTGAATCGCGAAGCCAGGAAAGGTGAAACGCGAAGCCAAAACGCGAAACGAGGGACGCTAATCACCAGAAACTAATATGCCATACGGCAAAGAAACGCACAGTCAGCAGATGATTGGGGAGCCCCAGGAGTCCCTCAGGGTGACAAGCACCGGCCCCGCTCCACACAGAGAACACCAGGTAGCAAAACCAAAACTCTGCCCCCAACTAAAACGCAAAGAGTCATCCAGTGTCCGCCCCCCCCCCTGGCAGAGCAGAAGCCGGCCGCCCACCACGACTGAGAGCACACCAGGAGCCCACCAAGACCCGCCAACCCCCGGCACCTCTCGGCCAAGCCGGCCCCCGAACGCCGTCACCCCGCCGGGAGAACAAGCTAGAACACGCAAAAAAAAAAATCTATCAACAATTCCGTGACCCAAGGTGATATGTGCGCCAGGCGTCGTACAACCGGACGGATGAAGAGGGACGCCAAACGGCAGAAGCAAAGCCAAAACGCGAAAACAAGACGTGATCAGGCGGCACCCAGGCGGAGAAGGCGTCCAAACGTCCGCTCGGCGTCAAGGTTGAACCAGGAGTCCCCAAGGAGAAGTGGCATCGCCTGGGCCTCTTGTTGACGATCGCTTAGTCTGCCATGACGGTGACGTCGCCGAATCGTGATAGAAAATGGGACGTTTCCCACGTATACCTATTATATTTATTTATGTATTTATTTGTTTATTTACAAGTACATTGGGTTTGTAGGAGCACATAACATTGGTGTTCTTACATGACGACTAAAGCCACAAACACGCAAACCGTTTCCTTATATGATTATTTATGTCTCTAAACTAACGCGCCTTGTGGTTTGATTTAATACGGTTATCATTTATGTCTCAAATTACGAAGTGTATACTAACGATGCCAGGGGTCAGAGGGTCGAGGGGGGGGGCGGCAGGTGGTAGAGTCTGGGGTCAGAGGGTCGGGGGGGAGGCGGCAGGTGGTAGACTCTGGGGTCAGAGGGTGGGGGGGGGGGGCGGCAGGTGGTAGACTCTGGGGTCAGAGGGTCAAGGGGGGCCGGCAGGTGGTAGAGTCTGGGGTCAGAGGGTCAGGCGGAGGTGGTAGGTCTGGGGTCAGAGGGTCGGGGGGGGGGCGGCAGGTGGTAGAGTCTGGGGTCAGAGGGGGGGGGGGGCGGCAGGTGGTAGAGTCTGGGGTCAGAGGGTGGGGGGGCGGCAGGTGGTAGAGTCTGGGGTCAGAGGGTCGGGGGGGGGGGCGGCAGGTGGTAGACTCTGGGGTCAGAGGGTGGGGGGCGACAGGTGGCAGAGTCTGAGGTCAGAGGGTCGGGGGGGGGGAGGCGGCAGGTGGTAGAGTCTGGGGTCAGAGGGGGGTGGGCGGCAGGTGGTAGAGTCTGGGGTCAGAGGGGGGTGGGCGGCAGGTGGTAGAGTCTGGGGTCAGAGGGTCAAGGGGGCCGGCAGGTGGTAGAGTCTGGGGTCAGAGGGTCGGGGGGGAGGCGGCAGGTGGTAGAGTCTGGGGTCAGAGGGTCGGGGGGGGGGCGGCAGGTGGTAGAGTCTGGGGTCAGAGGGTGGGGGGGGCGGCAGGTGGTAGAGTCTGGGGTCAGAGGGGGGGGGGGGGCGGCAGGTGGTAGAGTCTGGGGTCAGAGGGTCGGGGGGGGGGGGCGGCAGGTCGTAGATCGAGTCTGGGGTCAGAGGGTCGGGGGGGAGGGGCGGCAGGTGGTAGAGTCTGGGGTCAGAGGGTCGGTGGGGGGGCGGCAGGTGGTAGAGTCTGAGGTCAGAGAGTCAAGGTGGGCCGGCAGGTGGTAGAGTCTGGGGTCAGAGGGTCGGGGGGGCGGCAGGTGGTAGATCGAGTCTGAGGTCAGAGGGTCGGGGGGGGGGGGGGGGCCGGCAGGTGGTAGAGTCTGGGGTCAGAGGGTGGGGGGGGGCGGCAGGTGGTAGAGTCTGAGGTCAGAGAGTCAAGGTGAGGCGGCAGGTGGTAGAGTCTGGGGTCAGAGGGTCGGGGGGGGGCGGCAGGTGGTAGAGTCTGAGGTCAGAGGGTCAAGGGGGGCCGGCAGGTGGTAGAGTCTGGGGTCAGAGGGTCAAGGGGAGCCGGCAGGTGGTAGAGTCTGGGGTCAGAGGGTCGGGGGGAGGTGGCAGGTGGTAGAGTCTGGGGTCAGAGGGTGGGGGGGGCGGCAGGTGGTAGAGTCTGAGCTAGGTCAGAGGGTCGGGGGGGGCCGGCAGGTGGTAGAGTCTGGGGTCAGAGGGTCGGGGGGGCGGCAGGTGGTAGAGTCTGGAGTCAGAGGGTGAAGGGGGGCGGCAGGTGGTAGGGTCTGGGGGGGGGGGGGCGGCAGGTGGTAGAGTCTAGGGTCAGAGGGTCGGGGGGGGCGGCAGGTGGTAGAGTCTGAGGTCAGAGAGTCAAGGGGGGCGGCAGGTGGTAGAGTCTGGGGTCAGAGGGTCGGGGGGGGGCGGCAGGTGGTAGAGTCTGGGGTCAGAGAGTCGGGGGGGGGCCGGCAGGTGGTAGAGTCTGGGGTCAGAGGGTCAAGGGGGGCCGGCAGGTGGTAGAGTCTGGGGTCAGAGGGTGGGGGGGGGGAGGCGGTAGGTCTGGGGTCAGAGTAAGGGGTCAGCAGGTGGTAGGGGGGGGGCAGGTGGTAGCAGTGGTGAGTCTGGGGTCAGAGGGTCGGGGGGGGGCCGGCAGGTGGTAGAGTCTGGGGTTAGAGGGTCGGGGGGGCGGCAGGTGGTAGAGTTTGGGGTCAGAGGGTCGGGGGGGGGGGCGGCAGGTGGTAGAGTTTGGGGTCAGAGGGTCGGGGGGGGGGCGGCAGGTGGTAGAGTCTGGGGTCAGAGGGTGGGGGGGCGGCAGGTGGTAGAGTCTGGGGTCAGAGGGTCGGAGGGGGAGCGGCAGGTGGTAGAGTCTGGTGTCAGGGGGTCGGGGGGGGGGCGTTTGGTGGTAGAGTCTGGGGTCAGAGGGTCGGGGGGGAGGTGGACGACTGTGGAGTCGGAGCGTTGAGAGGTCAGAGGGTTGAGAGGTTGGATGGTTGAGAGGTGGAAGGTTGAGAGGTCGGAGGGTTGAGAGGTCGGAGGGTTGAGAGGTCGGAGGGTTGAGAGGTTGGATGGTTGAGAGGTGGAAGGTTGAGAGGTCGGAGGGTTGAGAGGTCGGAAGGTTGAGAGGTCGGAAGGTTGAGAGGCTGAAGGGTTGAGGGGTCGAAAGGTTGAGAGGTTGAAGGGTTGAGAGGTAGAAGGGTTGAGAGGTCGGAGGGTTGAGAGGTAGGAGGGTTGAGAGGTCGGAGGGTTGAGAGGTAGAAGGGTTGAGAGGTCGGAGGGTTGAGAGGTAGAAGGGTTGAGAGGTCGAAGGGTTGAGAGGTAGAAGGGTTGAGAGGTCGAAGGGTTGAGAGGTCGGAGGGTTGAGAGGTAGGAGGGTTGAGAGGTCGGAGGGTTGAGAGGTAGAAGGGTTGAGAGGTCGAAGGGTTGAGAGGTAGAAGGGTTGAGAGGTCGAAGGGTTGAGAGGTCGGAGGGTTGAGAGGTAGGAGGGTTGAGAGGTCGGAGGGTTGAGAGGTCGGAGGGTTGAGAGGTAGAAGGGTTGAGAGGTCGAAGGGTTGAGAGGTCGGAGGGTTGAGAGGTAGAAGGGTTGAGAGGCTGAAGGGCTGAGGGGTCGAAAGGTTGAGAGGTTGAAGGGTTGAGAGGTAGAAGGGTTGAGAGGTCGAAGGGTTGAGAGGTCGGAGGGTTGAGAGGTCGGAGGGTTGAGAGGTCGGAGGGTTGAGAGGTAGGAGGGTTGAGAGGTCGGAGGGTTGAGAGGTAGAAGGGTTGAGAGGTCGGAGGGTTGAGAGGTCGAAGGGTTGAGAGGTCGGAGGGTTGAGAGGTCGGAGGGTTGAGAGGTCGGAGGGTTGAGAGGTCGGAAGGTTGAGAGGTCGGAAGGTCAAGGAGTTACACAGCCACTTACGAAAGCTATACATCCTACAACAATGATGGCGGTTTCGTTAACATTTCTTAAATAAACTTCGTTATCACTTCACACACAGAGATCACACTAACGTAATGCACCAATTGAACAAATCCACAAGGGCCGTGACGAGGATTCGAAAATTTTAACCCTGTCGTAGCTCAGTCGATTAAGGCAGTGTCTGGGATGCTGCCGGACGCAGGTTCAAATCCTCGCCACGGCCCTTGTGGATTTGTTCATTATCATTTCTTTATGATCTGTGAACACTACGAGGATGGTTATAATAACCTTCGCTTATATGAAAAAGCGTAAACTGCTTTTTAACCGATGTAACAACAGCCCTCATAACTCAGTCAAAGATATACAGGCTTCGTAAATTGGTGCGTTAATGAATGATTAAACAGTTTAACCGATTGACATAAATGCAAGAATGAATAACAAATAACTCAAGGAACCACATTGGACTAGATATTCCATTCACCTGGGCTGTATGGGACTCGAACCGTGGACCCCGTGGACTTTGCCACGCGTGTAAGCCGAGGCTCCATCGACTGGGCTATGAGTAGTCTTAATAAGGAAAGTTTCCAGAAGCAGCCTCCTGCTGCCAAAGTGGAATTTTCGACTTTGGAAAAGATAGGTATAAGAGTGGTTTACGAAGGAGTTAAAATACAGGAGAGAAAAGAGGAAAATGTTCAAGACGCCTGATAAAGCAGGATGACGTCAACTAGACAAGCACGATGTGGGTCGTATGAAGCAGATTGCAGCAATCAAACACGGTAAGCTGAACGCTGCGAATGGAAGAACGAAAGGAGATTGAAGCGACAGACAGGAGGTAAGTGGTGATAATTTTCAGGCGTGGAGCGCCACCAGATATAAGAGAAAGGCAAGCAAAGGAAACACCAAAAAAATGTCGTAAAGTTATACATTTTAACAGTCATCATGAGACTTGGAGACGGCGTAATAAAACTCTCTGGAACGCCTTACAGATCGGGGAAGTTTTACAGTGTTAGTTATGTGAAGAATATTTTGAGGGTGGACCATCCAGGCAGATAAGACTTGGAAGTTTCTTTCAGGAGGAATATATGAAGCTTAATAGATCTCTGGAGGATCTGGCCACAGATAAGATCACATTGTTTGGGGAGATAAAGAGAATATTTCTGTAGTGTGCTGGTGAAGGATGGTGTAGTGAGCTGGTGAAGGATGTTGTAGTGTGCTGGTGAAGGATGTTGTGTGCTGGTGAAGGATGGTGTAGTGAGCTGGTGAAGGATGTTGTAGTGTGCTGGTGAAGGATGTTGTAGTGTGCTGGTGAAGGATGTTGTAGTGAGCTGGTGAAGGATGTTGTAGTGTGCTGGTGAAGGATGTTGTAGTGAGCTGGTGAAGGATGTTGTAGTGTGCTGGTGAAGGATGTTGTAGTGTGCTGGTGAAGGATGTTGTAGTGTGCTGGTGAAGGATGGTGTAATGAGCTGGTGAAGGATGGTGTAATGAGCTGGTGAAGGATGGTGTAGTGTGCTGGTGAAGGATGTTGTAGTGAGCTGGTGAAGGATGTTGTAGTGTGCTGGTGAAGGATGTTGTAGTGTGCTGGTGAAGGATGTTGTAGTGTGCTGGTGAAGGATGTTGTAGTGTGCTGGTGAAGGATGTTGTAGTGTGCTGGTGAAGGATGGTGTAATGAGCTGGTGAAGGATGGTGTAATGAGCTGGTGAAGGATGGTGTAGTGTGCTGGTGAAGGATGTTGTAGTGTGCTGGTGAAGGATGGTGTAGTGTGCTGGTGAAGGATGGTGTAGTGTGCTGGTGAAGGATGGTGTAGTGTGCTGGTGAAGGATGGTGTAGTGAGCTGGTGAAGGATGTTGTAGTGTGCTGGTGAAGGATGCTGTAGTGAGCTGGTGAAGGATGTTGTAGTGTGCTGGTGAAGGATGTTGTAGTGTGCTGGTGAAGGATGTTGTAGTGAGCTGGTGAAGGATGTTGTAGTGTGCTGGTGAAGGATGGTGTAGTGTGCTGGTGAAGGATGTTGTAGTGTGCTGGTGAAGGATGTTGTAGTGAGCTGGTGAAGGATGTTGTAGTGTGCTGGTGAAGGATGTTGTAGTGTGCTGGTGAAGGATTGTGTAGTGTGCTGGTGAAGGATGGTGTAGTGTGCTGGTGAAGGATGTTGTAGTGTGCTGGTGAAGGATGTTGTAGTGTGCTGGTGAAGGATGGTGTAGTGTGCTGGTGAAGGATGGTGTAGTGTGCTGGTGAAGGATGGTGTAGTGTGCTGGTGAAGGATGGTGTAGTGTGCTGGTGAAGGATGGTGTAGTGTGCTGGTGAAGGATGGTGTAGTGTGCTGGTGAAGGATGCTGTAGTGAGCTGGTGAAGGATGCTGTAGTGAGCTGGTGAAGGATGCTGTAGTGAGCTGGTGAAGGATGCTGTAGTGAGCTGGTGAAGGATGCTGTAGTGAGCTGGTGAAGGATGCTGTAGTGAGCTGGTTAAGGATGCTGTAGTGAGCTGGTGAAGGATGCTGTAGTGAGCTGGTGAAGGATGCTGTAGTGAGCTGGTGAAGGATGCTGTAGTGAGCTGGTGAAGGATGCTGTAGTGAGCTGGTGAAGGTTGCTGTAGTGAGCTGGTGAAGGATGCTGTAGTGAGCTGGTGAAGGATGCTGTAGTGAGCTGGTGAAGGATGCTGTAGTGAGCTGGTGAAGGATGTCTTGGCAGCAAGTTGCTTCGGGCTATCGAGGTCTCCCTACAGCCACCTTCTCTTCATCTGCCACAACGTACGAAATATAAAGTACTAACCGAACCAGAAACGCACGAACCCAAGCAACCCACCTAACCTGACCTTACCTAACCCAAACAACCTACCTAACCTGACCATACCTAACCCAAGCAACCCACCTAACCTGACCTTGCCTAACCCAAACAACCCACCTAACCTGACCTTACCTAACCCAAACAACCCACCTAACCTGACCATACCTAACCCAAGCAACCCACCTAACCTGACCATACCTAACCCAAGCAACCCACCTAACTTGACCTTACCTAACCCAAACAACCCACCTAACCTCACCATACCTAACCCAAGCAACCCACCTAACCTGACCATACCGAACCCTAACAACCTACCTAACCTGACCATACCTAACCCAAACAACCCACCTAACTTGACCTTACCTAACCCATGCAACCCACCTAACCTAATCTTAAGTTCTATAGAAAACGTGAATATTGGGGAGCCGCTACTTTCCACAATACTTTGGGGACCACAACGTACACAATCAGACGGATTAGTTGAGAGGACGGGTTGCTCCCTAGGTCAATTGTGGATGCTTCCCACAACAGTTACCTAGTTCTTGGGGTAAACATTTCCTGCTAGAACATTGAATCAGGTGAAAGGAAACGTCGCCCAACCATTTCTGCTCTGCAGCGGGAATCGAGCGCTGAATGTGGACCTATCGGTTGCGACTTGACTGTGCAGACCACTGAGCTACAGGATACATATTTAAGATATATAATATTACAATGATCATTAGAGGTAGAGAATACCGGCGTGAAGCCTCACCCTCGTTAATGGTCAGCGAGATGGCTTAGTGGCTTAGTGATGTCTCTTCACTGTTCCCATCCTCCAGGATGGAAGGTTGCTGCAGCCATACTGGCTTAGTGATGTCTCATCACAGTTCCCATCCTCCAGGATGGATGGTTGCTGAAGCCATACTGGCTTAGTGATGTCTCATCACAGTTCCCATCCTCCAGGATGGATGGTTGCTGAAGCCATACTGGCTTAGTGATGTCTCATCACAGTTCCCATCCTCCAGGATGGATGGTTGCTGCAGCCATACTGGCTTAGTGATGTCTCATCACAGTTCCCATCCTCGAGGATGGAAGGTTGCTGCAGCCATACTGGCTTAGTGATGTCTCATCACAGTTCCCATCCTCCAGGACGGATGGTTGCTGCAGCCATACTGGCTTAGTGATGTCTCATCACAGTTCCCATCCTCCAGGACGGATGGTTGCTGCAGCCATACTGGCTTAGTGATGTCTCATCACAGTTCCCATCCTCCAGGATGGATGGTTGCTGCAGCCATACTGGCTTAGTGATGTCTCATCACAGTTCCCATCCTCCAGGATGGATGGTTGCTGCAGCCATACTGGCTTAGTGATGTCTCATCACAGTTCCCATCCTCCAGGATGGATGGTTGCTGCAGCCATACTGGCTTAGTGATGTCTCATCACAGTAGACAAGTGGAGTGGGAGCGAGGGTTGCCAGTTATACCTGACCACAAAACTAACTAAAATCAAACAATATGTTCTCTAATAACCCGGTAATGAGAAACTCCTGAACAATAGGAGATAAAAAGCGGCGTCGTATTAGGGCGTGGTAGATATAGCCAGCTTGGTGGCCTCAATATTGTCATGGTATTGGAGCCCAGGGAAGGAACGCATACAAATACTACAAGCAATAAGTGGGGAGCAACACAGTGGAATCCCATCGTGAGGAAATTTGGGCGAAGCGGAATTCCGAATATGCTATCTCCTGAGGGAAACATATATATATATATATTTATATATATATATATATATATATATATATATATATATGCGAACAAGCCTGAATGGTCCCCAGGACTATATGCGAATGAAAACTCACACCCCAGAAGTGACTCGAACCCATACTCCCAGAAGCAACGCAACTGGTAACTACAGGGCGCCTTAATCCGCTTGACCATCACGGCTGTCAAAAGGAAGTGATAGCCGAGGCTATTTGAGCCACTTCCCCGACGGCAACTCGGATGGTAATCTTGGGCATAGCATTTCACCAAATCACCTCATTCTTTGGGGCACACGTGAGGAACACAAATGCGAACAAGCCTGAATGGTCCCCAGGACTATATGCGAATGAAAACTCACACCCCAGAAGTGACTCGAACCCATACTCCCAGAAGCAACGCAACTGGTAACTACAGGGCGCCTTAATCCGCTTGACCATCACGGCCGTCAAAAGGAAGTGATAGCCGAGGCTATTTGAGCCACTTCCCCGACGGCAACT